CTGCCGATATAATTAAATAATTTTTTTAATTGTGAAGTATAAAGTATCAATGAATGGAAACAAATGTAAGGAAATGTGTATGCCATGTACTTCAAGGAAAGACATACGTTCGTCAATACAGCGTTATTGTATACAAGTGTGATAAAAAGTGAATATACATAAAACATAGTTGATAATCATGGTTAATTTCTTATATTAAGTATGCCTTGCCTTTAATGACATAGAAGATTTTACATGAATTATAGTATTGTTATTCCTTACTTCAATTATCTTAAACCATATAACATGAAAAAAACTATTACATAATTTGTTTTCTATAACGTATATATCATGATGTAAAAGATCGAAAAACGAAGTATAATATTATCACTGGATATAAAACAAAAATTAAATTGAAATTGCTAAAGACACAAATATTTATGATGCTTCTCTTTTTCTGTTTTTCGCATCATAATTAATAATTAAAAATTTTAAGATGTTTGCGTATTGAATAAGCAAAATATAAAAATTAACAAAAATTTTCTGTTATATAGGAATAGAGATATGAAACGTTAGAAGAATGCATATTGTAAAGAAGAAAAATGTAAGTGAGATACAATTTAATATGACAATATATATGACACAGAGTGTCATACAAATGTTACATGAAGTAGAAAAAACAGCATATACTCTACCATTTATCAATGATACTAAAAATGTGTGCCTTAGCTTTGAAAAACAAAATAAACTAACAGTTTTTGGTAGTTTGAAGCTTGCAACGTGAACTGATTTTAGCAAGGCATGCACTGATTGTAAAATATACCGTATAATCCTCGATTATGAAAGTTACACAAAAAGAATTAAATGTATATCATTAAACACATTTTGAAACATAAATTATGTTTTAAGTTATAACATCCTATCTTGGGAAAATACGGTATAAATATATCATATATCTGGATATACATTTGACATATAATCAAATATATATCAACATATACAATATATGATTTGCATAAAAAAAATATTTGCAAGCAAACTAATATAATTGACAATATATGGAGTCAGTGAATTTTCTTATCATTGTATTATTTTTCATTTTGTAAAAAACTTAAATTATAACTTTAATGAAACTAATGAAATTAGTTTTCGAAAATATTGTGTTTGTACAATATCAGTAAAGCACATTGTCATTATGTGAACTATACTATGTGTTGAATTTACATTAGTCATGCAATATAAAATTCATTACTGCAAATTAGAGAACTTTACTCAAAAGTATTAAAGATATACAGTGATCGATCAGAAATCAAATATTTAATTATATTATTTGTTACTAAAGACAGGAAAAAATATTTAAAATACATGCTTAATGGTTTCATAATTCTTTTTTAAAGGAAAGCTTCAATTGGACTATTATATTTAGCACGAGCAACATAAGTCAAGTGTAATTGAAAAATTTATAATCTATGATAATATATTTAAAAAAGCCATACAACAATACACCATAAATTGAAACATTTATTACAGAACACGATATAATTCGATATCAAAATATGTATATACTACAAAATTTATTTAAAAATAAAATCTTCAATTATCTATGGCAAATAATATAGAATCATGAGTAATAAGAAAAAATAGTATTAAAAAGTTATATACACACAATATTATTCTACTTTTGTCTTGAATATATTTTTGCACCTTTAATAGCAAAAAATATAATTATATTATATTTCTAATGATCAACACTGCATAACCATTACATGAAAGTACACTATTTTTTCAGAATAAGATTGTCTATGTAATTTAATACTAATAAAAATCTTTGTCGCTATATTTGTGAACTATTTTAAATATTTTGAAGATTTATTACTCGGGTATAGAATAATAAAAATTATAAACATAAATATAATAAAATAGAACAACATACAGCGCTATATGTGCGGTTGTAAAAAATAAAACCTTCTATCATATTATTTACTTTTTTGATTTTGTTCAGTAACTACAAAAATATATAACAAAACGCAAGTAACTTACTTGGCAAAACCAATAAAATCTTCATGATTTGTGTTCATGTATGCAAGTTCACAATCAACCAAGAGTATCAACTGTTCCTTGCACATCTGTTCGCGTTGTCTAACATGAGTAGTTATAATACGTTCCGTTTCTTCTCTCAATCTAGGATAACGTGACATCTGCCATGCAAAATAAATGTTAAAATTTCATAGACAAAAAGGTTCCAAAATTTCATAGATAAAAAAAATTCACTTACCCTATCAGTACAAATGCGTACAACATTACTGAGTTCTTGTACAACTAGGTCCACACATTTTAGACTAGGTTCTTTGAGTCTATTTATTTGTTTCTTGACTATTGCCTCAAAGGCCATATCAGGAGTAAACAAGCCTACCCTGATACCTATGACATTATACTATTGTTAATACTTTATTTTTAAAAGCATCAGAGTACTTGTTTATATTCACATGTACATATAATAAAATTACAATGATGAAATTATCAATATTAAAATAATCACTTACCATGAATATTTCTGATGGCAAAAGCAATTTCTCTTCTTAATTCTTTTTCATCAAATTCCATTTTAACTATTTCAAACGGAAAACGTTCATGGAATAATCTATTTATTTTAGCACCTCCACTAAGCTCATTTGTGTTGATTTGTGCAGATCCTGAACCTTCTATGGTCCTTTCAAAATCTGACTGAAGTTGTTGTATCATCCTTAAAAATGTTTCTCTTTCAATCAATGCATAGACAAGCACAAAACATCAACATTAATTATATGGGCAGAGAGTCGTGATATTTAGTATTGTAAAGCTAGATAAATTCTACATAATTAATATACTCTGATGTTAGTGCAGATGTTTGTTACTTTTCACTCCTTAGTTGGCTGTCTAAACACATATAATATGTTAAAATTTTCATGCAAATGATACACACACACGGAAAAATATGATACCTACATAAATTCGTGAATTGATCTGAAAAATAAGAATAAAAAATTCTAAATTGTCAAGACCCTCCACCCATAGTGTATATTTAAGAAAAACTGCAAAAGTTAAGTGGAGTTTATGAATCTATTACAAGACATGAAACATTTGACATATAATTGGTTATATATACACCACTTCTTGTTTCATTAATTTTACTTCACTTTTTATGAACATGGAAGTTACACCAAAGAAGTACTTACTGTAACATAGCTTTAGTTTTTATGGCAGGATCATCAGGTCTGAGATGTTTGTATTGTTCTACATCTTTTTCCAATGTAAGCAACTGTTTTTGTAATCTATCTCTTAATGCTGGTAAAGTATCCCTGATATGATTTGTTAATTGTTGATTCAAAACACGTTGCAAATATGGTGTTCCTAATCTATCTGCTAGATGCCGATAAGATGGATGGCTAATACATAAAGAATATTTTAAATGTTTAATAGAAGTATGAATTAATTCAATTATTCTTCATATCTGATCTATATATACCTTAGGAAAAATTTCCTTTCAGCTGCTAGAGCATTTTTTATATCTTTTCGTCCTTCTATATCTTTTTGACTTCTGTTAACAACACCTATATAACCTCGTCTTAGGGGTAGCAATTTGTTTTCCAAAATATCTCTTGCATCAGTACCATCATCCATAAGATCCAATTTAGTAATAACACCAATTGTACGAACACCTTAAGAAATGTACAGTATAAAGATACCTTTCTAAATTTTTTGATATCAAGTATTGAATACTCATAATCATGTACCTTGAGGATCTACTTCTTTGGCAAGTTTAAGAGCATCACTATTTGCTAAATCAGTGTTTGCTGGAGTTACTGCCAATATAAGACAATTTTCTCTTTTTATGAATTGAAAAATCATAGCTTTAATTTGACTTTCTATGTCTACAGGTTGATCTCCAATTGGTACTTTTGTGAGGCCAGGTAAATCAATCAATGTCAAATTTAAAACTGGCAACAACAATTATGTTATTTAAAATGTTGTTCAACATGTGCTAGTATAAAATGTAGTAAAAAAATATTTTTACCATTAGGTGAATACACTCTTAAATTTATTGGTATATTAGAAATACCCTTATTACTGCCTGTAACTCTGTCTGTTTCTGCTTCGATTTCCTTCCGTACTTCATCAAAATCCACAAACTTTTTGCCTTTACAATGGAGAAATTCAGCATTTTCTACAAGGAAGAAATAATTAATTAATAATTTATGAAAGTTTTCTTTCTCAGATATAAATATTGTGAATAATTTCATATGACTGAAATGTTTTACATTTCTTAGTTGTAGAAGGAAACTTATTTTTGTGCTTATCAAAAGTTAATTGTTGTCGCAGGAAATATGATAATATGTAGACAACAGTTAAGATTATGTGGTAAATCACATTATTCACATGAAAGCTGAAAATATTTTTATGAAATATTTATTTTCCTTCAGAAAAAATACTAAGTCCAGCAATTAAAATTAGTATTTTTCAAAAGGAAATGCT